TGTTTAGAATTTGTTAAAATTTCAGTGTTCGGCGATTTGTTTGATTTTCATATGGAGTGTAGTTTCATTTACATGGCGCAAATATTGCTGTGTTTACAATTCTGTTTAATTTCTTTATTTATAGTGCTACTTGCAATACTGTGTTCTATTCCTTTTATTTTGTAAAGATTTTGGTCTGCCTGGTCCCACGGACAAGCAATCTTCTTTGCTTTTGTGGGCCAGTTATTGTAAGTGTTTTTCAAAGGAATAAAAGACTATTATTATTATTATTATTATTGAAAACGCGGCCCATAAACGACGTGACCACGGACGTGACGCACCCGATGTTGCAGATGAAAACATAACTCTATGGTTGAAAACAAACTCGTATCAAGGCTCGATAGAGTCAAGCCAACTTTAGAGTGCCTACATGTCTGTCTGTCTCAGGGTGAAGACATCCATTGTTCCCCTGAATGTGCCAGTGCGTGACGCTCTCGCGCACTCGGTGCGTGACTTGGGCGGCAAAATGGCGCCTATGTATTAGCTAAAGCTAGACGCTCGAGCTGAGTGACACCGGATTGCGCGCACTTCAAAATGCATAAAAAAACGAATGGGCGGAAAAATGGCTGACATGTCACCACTCAAGCAAACGCGCGTGTGTATGAAGGCACTCTAGCCAACTTGTGCTTGTGGCGCCATCTTCGGAGAGGCATAGCGAGCTTCGGTCGTAAACAGACGACTTAATGAAGTACTTGCTACAAATATCGCGAGATGGCGCCACAAGTTTGACTTCCACTTTGGACTCCCGGACGTACCCGTTATCATAAGGTAAAATAGGTCCATATTACATGAGCGAATGACGTTTTAGCGAACATCGACATTTGAGCGAATCGACGTTTTAGCGAATAACGGGGGCGCGCGTTAGCCCATCCACCCAGAGCCGTACGGCTCTGCATCCGCCGCGCTGCGCTTTTGGCCCACCCATTTGGCCCACCCGAAAACGCCGCTTCGCGGCGTCCGACTATTCGCTAAAGTGTCATTCGGTGAAACGTGGGCGTTCGCTAAAACGTCATTCGATCAAGTGAGTGCCTCCCGTTATACCGCTGCCACACAGAACAGCGTGGTTACGCGGAAAATGTAGAAATAGGCAGGAGTGCATTGCAAATTTTCACTGCCTTCCCAATCAAATATGCTGCCCTAAATAAAACAGAAACAGTGCGTAAACTTTAAAGCTTTGTAATGTAAGGTCAGGAACGTGCAAATGAGAACATCTTTTTCCCGGTTGCCGACGCCACTCACCTTCACGGGATCGAATACCGCTTAGAACAAAAACACGCGTTCAGAAAAAAAAGAAAGAAAGAAAGAAAAATTAGCAGCGTTTACTCCCTCAGCACGGAGCCAGAACAAGCGGCCACGTGATCTGGAGCCGATTATATGCCGGCAATGTTGATCATGGCCACGCGCTGGGGTTGGCAAAGCACAGGACACACGCTGAGTTCCTGACATTGTTATGGCTCGGCTATTGTCGTCGTTGCAGCGATTGAACACGGGCCACTACCCGAATGCTTCTCGAGCCAGTAATTATCACAAACCCAAATCGAGTGCCCACGCAATGCTCGGGTCCAATCTATGAACCGCATTCGAATATCGTCATTGGGGTGTACTTTGATCATCACGTTACGTCATCAAATTTTGGTAAGGAGAGATTCAATGCAAATGATCACTTTTGTCCTTGAAATTACACCGCAATTAAGGAGTTCATTAGCCAGTGGCGTTGCGTGAAGCTCGTGTAAAGTGAAAAACATTCCAATTGAATACCGTTGCACCGCTCCTTTAAAGGGGTAGTGAAACGAAATTTTAGCGCCGATCTTGTTGCATAAATATGGGCTAGGGACAGGCACCACCTCGGAAATATAAATATTGCGCTGTAAAACACAGGAGAACTAATTTTAAACATAATTAAACGATTTCAAATTCTCATCTGGTGGATGGGGGGAAGTTCTCGTGACATCACTTGTGCCAAAATAGCAGCGCCGTTCTGCGGCAATACGGCGTGCCGGCAGGATTCGCCTAGGCCTGAACGCGTTTGCAAAGCCTTGGCGGAGAAAGCCAAAGCGTAGTTGGCCACAGTGAGCTCGTTCTCGTTGCGGCTCTTTGCACGACACGACCCGACTCCCGAGCATGCTTCTGGCACGGCCGGTAGTTGCTGCGAGTCGCGAGCTGCGAGCCGACGTTAAAAAGGATATGTTTGAACTACGAGGGTGTCAGCAAGAGCCACGCAAATACCCGTTCACACTCGGAGCGGACACGCGCGTTTGATCGAAGTGCTGGATTCGCTGTTAGACCGCGTTTCGGTAAGCGCTTCTGGACCGATCTTTTACGATTGCAACTCGATACTGACATGACACTCGGCAAAGAAAGGTTAGACCGACATCGCGTAGCTCCCACGAACTGCTATAGCTCGACAGTGACGTAGCGTCGAGTCAGAATAAAAATGGCATACTAATAACAGAGTGTACATACCGAGTTGCGAAGGTAATCCGTATGGCGTTTATTTGAGCTCTATATCACACAAAACAAGGAGATAGAATCAATGAAAGTCCCTTTTCGACGACAGCGTTCGTCACCGCTGTCTCGGAAAACAAGGAGATCGAGATGACAAGGGGAAAATGACCTCTGAAATTTAGTTCAGGGATCAAACTACTCATCCGGTAAGGGTCCACAAGGGTCGCGCGGGCATATTCCATTCAGCAGGCCAGCCGGTCATGGACAGACGGTCTTGGCCAAGGACCGCCGGAGCAACGGTGCGCCGAGTCGATGTTGCTGCTATAGCCTACTATATTCTGCCGAGCTCGCTCGGTCGGCAGAATCGTGGCCGTTGTAGCTCTTCTCGTGTGTTTGTGGATCTTGCGTTCTTGATCGTCGTGGTCTGTTTTAAGTACTCCTTCCTTTTTTCTTGCTGGTTGAAGTCGGGACGCACGAGAAGAGCACGTAGAAAAATAAATGTCTGTTGGTGGCCGATACCAAGTAACTGAGCGACGCTGTCGGCCTTGTTGATTTGATCGTAAAAAGTGCGTAAGACAGCTTCGGAGCTGTCGTAGGATTCTGTCGTAACCTGCGCAAAGGTTACGACAATTTCGTTTCGAGAGTACGGGTTTTCTCTCAAATTTGTCGTACGCACTTTTTTCGTCGTAAGTTCGCTTTGAGAATCCGGCCTCAGAGCTGGTTTTGTCAGTGCTGCCGTGGTTGCCGACTTGCCGTGGTGCAGCGTGCGTGCAGCCCTTGCACATCTCAAACGGCCGCGTTGTCACAGGTCGTAAAGCGTCGACGCGCCACCAAGTGGCAACGCTCGTAACCACAACATTCACGCCGTAGCCTTTCCCGTCTGGCACAAGTGACGTCACGAATGCGCCCAATATCCCAAGACGCATCGCGCTCTCCGATGGCCGATTTTTGAGCGCGCGCCCAATCGGGCCCATTAGGGTGAAAAATATAGCCATCCGTTCAAAATACAAACGCGCGATTATGATTTATGAATATCATTGATCATATTGAACCTATTTCTGACCATAATAGGTGTATTTCAAGTTTCGCTTCAGTATCCCTTTAACTTCCCGTCATTGTCTAATTGCAAATTTCCGAAAATCGCTTTTAACTTTTGAGTTAGATAGCGGCAAGCCCTCAAACCTTAACGAAGTTTACTTTTACGGTGAAGAAACAACAAATCGAACTTTTTTAGCTGTTTAATGAACACTCAGATTATACTTCATTGTAATATTTGGCTTGCGGTTACTAAATAGTACTGTAATCGTAAAAAAAACAACAAAAAACACTTACTGTAATTGCTTTTTAAACACCGGTGGTAGGCATCGTAAACACACACACACACACACACACACACACACACACACACACACAAAAAAAAAAAAAGAAACTCGCGAAAAACGAAGACGCTTCACTTTGCAGTACCTGCGTCCTTCCTCGCTTTTTTCTCTTTTTCTGCCGGTCTCTTTTACGTTCTTTCCCTCAGGAGCACTAATGTCAGTGCTCGTGATTTGGCGCTCTTCACGCTCGTCTCTGTATTTTGGTCATGGCAAATCATTCGACAATAGCTTCATTCGATTTATCTGAACCTACTGCACCGGTGATGGAGGTGTGGGTAAATCAAACGAAGCTATTTTCTACAAAATAAACATCACCTGATCAATGATGGTACTTGTCGTAACATTCGAGTAGAGGTAAAATTTCAGGCAACTTTTCTGCGCTGCGCAACACTGATAGAAACACGTAATCTTCATTTAGCTTACATTTTATTCTGATCTGAGGGACCAGATGAAAGGAGTGTAACGAATTGTTTCTGTATCAGGCTTTGACTTTGCCATTGCGAAGGCAAAGTGACGTTTCAAATTCCAAGAACTCTAATCCATACTTGCGGCGGCAGAAGCGCCGAGTTATCGAAACCAAAACTCGTTTGAAGTCATTCGAAACAATACGTTTTTCAGTAGAGATATGGGCTGTGTTCCAAATCTCACCAAAATGGATCTGAGTTACTCCGGCGGGTCGTGTCACGTGACAACACACATTGAAAAGCGCTGGACGCGAGTAGGATTTAGAACGCCATGGTAAAAAACCTTTACCCTGGAGTAAAATTGAGTAAATTTTGGAACACGGCTTCTCTGTCAGAGTCAGGTTTCAGTCACGTGATCCAACGCGGCCGTCAAAATGTCGCTGACCTCATGCAAAGTGGTTTCCTTATTTTTAAGGACAAATGTCTCAATTGTTTCTGAACATTTACAGTGACAAGGATAGGAAAGCGCTGTTTCCGTCTCAGAACACAGCTACAGTGAAACCAGCTACGATTTTGCAAGTTTAGAATCGGAACGAAAACGTTTACAAAACGTTTGCTTCCCTTCTGAACGTCACAATGCGTCGGCGTCTGCCGAGCAAACGAACGCACCCAAAGATCGTTTTACGGCTTCAATTCATATTTCTAGAAAGAACTCAAGTCAAGACTAAATCCAAGCCAGAATTGGCCAATGCCGTGCGTCGTGACCTCCTCTCTCATCCTTGTTTACGCGAGCCGTGCCGAAAGAAAGGCGAACCCCGGTGCACCCGGCGTAGAAAAGAAGGCTTCGCATACCCCGGCTATCGACCACGACGCGGGCGCAAGCGGCTCTGTGTATCTCCCTACCCCCCTTTCAAGCAATCGATTCTCAGACGCCGCCACCGTCCAAGCCAACATGGTGAGTTCCCGCACCCCAAACAACCTACTTTGAGCATTTGATTCGCATTTAGCGGTTCCCGCCGAGTTCCAAGATGGGCTCCCAGGGAAAAGCCGTTATCGGCGGGACTGACTCAGCGTGTGCTTGTTTCCTTTGTGCAGTCGTACGAGCGGAAGCCCCAAACTCGCGTCTTCGTCGGCGGCCTCGGCGACAACATGGCGAAAGAGGAGCTCGAGCGGGAGTTCAGCAAGTACGGCCACCTGAGTCAGGTGTGGGTGGCCCAGAACCCGCCGGGCTTCGCTTTCGTCGAATTTGACGACGACCGAGACGCCAACGAAGCCATCCGCCAGATGAACGGCTTCGTGCTCAACGGCTGCAAGCTGCGCGTCGAGCACTCTCGGGAACGCGGCAGCCGAGGCTTCAGCCGGGGCGGTGCCCGCGGAGGCGGCGGTTTCTCCCGCGGCGGCCGCGGTGGCCCGTCGTCGGGCGGCTTCCGAGGCGGTCGTGGCGGCGGCTTCGGCGGCGGGGGCCGCCGAGGCGGCTACGACTCGTGGGGCCACGACGACCGCTATGGAGGCGGCGATGACGGAGGCGACTACGGCTCCGGCGGCGGCGGAAACAGCTCCAGCCCGCGGTACCGTAGCAGATCTCCATTGGGAGCACAGAGGTATTCAGCTCGAGGCCCCTGAGCTCGCGCGAAACACGAAAAAAAAAAAAAAAAAAAAAAAATCTACCTTCCCACAAAGTACCTTCTTCCGAGCTGGCGCTCGTATGACCTGACGGTCCTTCTTCTCGACTCTGCGGGGGCCGGGGAATGGTGCTGCGCGCTGCCCCACAGAAAGAGCGTGCTACCAACAACCCCCTACTCGAATGTGTTCTGGCTTCCCGCGGAAGCGGGATGTCTCTCGCGCGCGCGCGTGCTTCGCAGTGCCGGTGCATGAGGGTGATTTGCTACGTTCGGCACGTTCGGCGCCGCCAGACCTGGTGCCTGCTCGCGCGTCACAACGCTCCCTTCTCTCTCCTACGCAGCGGCTACAATTGAGGGCGCTGACGCGGTCGACACTCGGCAGGCCCGGGGTCGACCCTTCGCACACGACACCTTCGCATTGGACGATTCCGGCCGGCCCCAGCCTTTGCATCTCGCTCGGGCCGGCCGCGCTTTATTGCCAGGCGTCTCGATTTTTTTTTTTCCTTTTTTTTTTTGTGTGTCTTGATTAATAAAGAGTCGCTGGCCCCCCACACATCGACTTGAAGCGTCATGTCCCACTCTTCTCAGCGCCTTCAGTGGTGCTCGAGGACCAGCTTGAGGAACTCCTCACGCGTCTTGGGGTCTTCACGGAACACACCCAGCATGGTGCTGGTGATGGTTTGGCTGGAGGTCTTCTGAACTCCGCGCATGGCCATGCACATGTGGCTGCGAGAAACGGGTGGTGGCAAATGAGCAAGCTTCAAGGGGCTCCGGAACGTGGGATACGCTATTCTTTTGGCACCAAAAATGCTATATGGCTGTATAGCCCCAAGACAGTGAATGGGGGGTGTCTTGTCTGGCTGCTGGTCAACATGTCTGGTACAATACCATCTAGAAGACTGGCTGTGCCTTCCCTACCTCCACCCTTTCCCCAAACATTACTAGTAGATCCACACAGCACAGTCTCCTTGCATCGTCTCGTAGCGTCTCAAGTGTTGCTGCCACGTGCCAACGATAAAACTGACATGTCTGCCACTTTGGGGTGGGTCGGGGACCCACTAATGACTATGTTGCACATAGGCTTTGTCGTATTGGGTGGGCCAAGAAGGGCAACTTTGGGCAGGCCATGTCGCGAAACGATAGGACACAAACATTGCGTCAGTTTGGCTGGGAACTCTGACGTCCAAGATAACGATTGCGGCTGCAGGGCCATGCCAGAGTTGCCAACATTTCGTGTAAGACGACGCAACTTGTCTGAATCTTCACTGCACAGTCTGTATACTCTGTTCTTGCCTAAGCCGAGACAAGTTAGGGGCTTTGAAGCATTCTCCAAACTGACACTTGCGCTAGAAAGATGGGTCCCAAAGCCAGGAGCGTTGGCTGCAGTCTCGGCTCAAGGGTGAACAGAGTATAGCGGTTTCCTCAAACAGAAGGGCGTCGCACGCAGATTGAATGTGACTGCCAAGTCGGCATTTGGGTGGATTTTGTATCCCCTCCGGCTGAGCGCAAGTCCCCAGCCGAGGGCTGATGCAGCCCTTGTCAAACCTGTGCCCCGTGCTGACACCTGATAGGTGGCGTGAAGAATCCAGTACTACTGCGTCGTTGTCTAGGTGTTTAGCGAGGGGGAGAGAACAAACACATGCTTTGGAAAAGACCTGGAGCCGTGAAATAAAGGTCAAAGTGGAGATGTGCGACAACAAGCTTAGCGTTCACTCCTGCCGGAGCGCTGGCGCTTTTCAGAAGAGTGCCGTCGGGCCACAGGACTCTTACCAAGTTACTCCGTGCGACATTATGCAAAGCAACATGAAACGATACATTGTGTCATCATTGCCTTTGCCACAGTAGTGGGGGAAGGTGGCAAATGTTTTTGGGCCGTCTTTTACCACAATGGATAGGGTATTTACCAAGCAGGCTCACCCTAAAAGTCTCCTCGTTTATACTAGTGGCAACAGAATGGTTGGCTTTGTTCCCCATTTCTTTCACTCTACCTGCTCAAATCTTAGCTTGTCGAAAGCTGACGGCGAGCTTTCAGATTGTTTTGCGCTACTCGAGTTTTTTTCATGTAGTTTTAGGCGGCTCTCTTGACAGGTGACGTGCAAGCATCTGTGAAGAACCGTCGTGTTCGAATATGGAATATAGTTGTTTTCTTTTGGTATAGACTACTATGACGATAGCAAGTCGGCTGTTCTGACTGCTGTCTTATTTTTTATCGCGATAAAACCTGCAAGATTATGCACTTATCAAAGGTTCAGTGGCCGGACGTGTTGGCTACCTGGGTGGAATGGCAGTTGGAGCAGGGCCATCTCAATTGACCTATTTTGTTGAAGTTTTGACTGCGTGCGGGTTATCGGCATTTCTGCTTTGTAAAGCTTGAATTGGCAAATTACTATGGCAGCCAGCTGTTGCCAAGGGTTTCCTTTTCACAGGCATTAGACAAGGCACCATTTAAATCGGCGTTCTACACTAGATCCAAATCCAACACATGAAAGTATGATTGTAATCAGCCTTTGTTTTATGTCTGGCTTTACAAGCTGGAATGCCGATAAAAGCCCTTGTGTAATGGGGTGGGTTAGTCCCCTTAGCCCAGCTCCTTTGAGTGCACGTGCGAGACTTCCTCTGCTTGGTTTGGGGTCTGCTCCGCTTGTGTACGGCGACCACCTTAACTCGTGTGGTTCACATAGTTGTATGCATCAGTGGCATATGCAGGGCGGAGGCTTACGGGGCTTCAGCCCCGTAAGCTTCTACCCCCTTTGCCCTCTCCGCCTTCCCCACATAAGCCTCTCTCCCACACCCAAATCCATGGACATCCCAGCCACTTCAGTCCCCCCCGTGAAAAATATTTGTGGCTACGCCACTGGTGTGCATGCACTTGTTTTATGACTACTAATTAAAGTCGCTGGATGTGGGGAAAGTAGTGCCATTGCCTTCCCTGCATGCTAGCAAGACACAAACAAATACTAACTTACAGACAACCAAAACCTGGCAAGGCGATAGGTTGATCAGTATCTGTTCTATGGCAATTGCCATTTCGGTCCTTTCAAGTGTTCAAGCTACAAAAGGTTCATTCTGTGCCGGCCGTACGAAGACTGCTATGGAATGTCATTGTAGTGAAAGTGCTGCTCGCCAATATAAGCGTCTTTGGCCGTGTTTGTAATCAAGTTTACGAAGTACTGACGACATAGGTCGTGGCGGTGCAAAGATGTGTGCATGTTTCGCAGGTGTGGGGACAACAAAATTTGGGTATACAAGGAATGTGTCTATAAAGCAACCTGTCGCCAGGAATTTGAATCGGCTCACCAAGAATGGAGACCTCGTGGAGAAACTGCCGACTTTGTGGACCGAAATGGCAACCATACAGCAGCTTGGTGCTACTTTCCTAGGATTTAGTGACTTTAAAGGGATACTACAACGAAATTTTGGCGCTTATTTTTTGGTCTATTCGTGTTCAAGGGAGCAGTATCACATCAGACATACCAATCTCTTGTTGAAAAAGACAAGAAAACTTTAAAACAAATTAAATGATTAGCAAAGAGTGCCTGGAGGATGTCGCCAACACGTAATGCCCGTCTAGGAACCTTGAGAGGTAGCGACAATAACTGTCTCGCCTCTGGCCACCATAAGAGCAGAGGGAAGGACGAACTTGCCTCTCCCCAAGAGTTCCTTTTGTGTGTCCCAGACATGGCTATTGTCCCTCTACAAGATAATAGAAGATTAACCCTTCTCTCAAGATTCACACAAAAGCAGCTTTGGGGTTAGTTGCGGTGGCTGGAATGGCTAGGACATCCGCTCGACGTCAGCCTCGTCGCAGCTTTGCTCATCCCAAGACAATCTACGTCACGATTGCAACGGATGTCACGTGCTCTCTGCTGGCTGCTCTCCAAGCGCTTGCCAGAGTGTGCTGTTTATAACGAAATATACAGCCATCAGGGTTAAAATACAAACATGCCATTTTCATTTACGGATATTGTGGATCATATTCAGCCTATTTCTGAACACGACGGGTATACTTCAAATTTTGTGGAGGTATCCCTGTAATACTAACGCCAGGGGCATCTTCCAGCATTTCCACTTTCTGCATATGCACACTGCATTTTTTTGTCGTGGGTCCTTCGAAGCTTGCGCGGCATGTCCTTGGGGATGGAAAGCGGGTGCAGAACGCAGTGACCTCTGCTCTTCTGAAGCATTGTTGAAAGCAGACGGTGGTTAGACTGTCGTTTTTTTGGACTAATGCTTGCGTCTCTTGAGAAGCATGACTTTTTGGCAGCTTGGCTGGCTGTGTCCGAACCTATCTTGAAATTTTGCAACATAAAAAATGCACCACTAATAATATTAAACCCTTGATGAAAATATTAGCTCGTTACATGCAAGTGCTGGTTTTTCCGGACACGTTTGAAAGCTAACCTCGACCACGGCCAAGCTAGAATGAAAAAGTGTGCTTTCTTACGGCCTTCGCATGAGGATATGGTTTCTCCCTGCCGCCGCAGTTCGGTGGGGTTGCTGCGGCTTCACCCCTCCTACAGTGCTTTAATTCCTTCAAAAGAGCTACCCCAACCTCACCGTGTTGACCTCTTTGCTCCAGGGTCAAATTAAAAGTAGTTCCAGGCTAGTTAAACCTACAGTCCAAGTGGCCTCCTGCCCGCAGGGAGACTTGCACGAAAAACCTCTTTCTCATTGTCTTCTCAAAAATATTTTTCCAGAAACTAGCACTTATTTATTGTAAGTCAAGAATATTTCAATCGGCACACTAGTTATTTCGGATCAGTACATTGACATACACTTTCAATCGCTGGTTGGAACTGTTGTCCAGGGTAATTCAGCCACTACCGTGAAAGCGTAGCGTAGTTGCAGCCCCAAGCGGCTAGAAAAATCTCACTGCTCCTAAGTTAGAGAAAAGGCCGTAAGGAAAGCCGCTCTCTAACTTGGCCGTGCGTCGTGCTGAGCGTAGGGGGGCATGCGGGATCTTACGAGGCTTGGATGACAACTCCGACTCCCGTGGGCCCGACGGCTTCCGTGACCGCCATGGCTATTTGCTTGGTGAGCCTCTCCTGCACTGCAGTGACTGCGTCAGTGGGATGCACAAAGTGATTCCCTAGGCCTACAAGCTTACCTTGCAGACGGCGGCTGTACACTTCCACAATCCTGAAAGGAGAGAAGACGTTTAGTCGCATGGAAAGGGCTGCCGAACAGCATTTGGCATCCTAAACAATCAAATAATAACATGCTGCGGCGAAAAAGATAATGACAGCGGGTCTGCCCCTGTACTGGATCTCTTTCCACTGCATGCAATATTGGAATGGACAAAAGTGTATTGAACCAGGGTGTTGTGTTCTCATTAAAGGCTGACATACAACCTCAATTTTTTTGTAGGGAAGATAATACTTTTAGCATCCCCCTTTCCCAAACTGCAAAGGGAGCCATGTTGGGGCAAGGTAAAAAGTGGAGAGGATATAGGGAAGGAGGAGGGGGCTAAAGTGCATAGTGTATGTCGGCCTTTAATGCACAAAATGCTGTTTGCAATGTTCCGGCACACATGTTACATGCAGTGCTGTCACAAACATTGGAGCAAAAAGGATTGAGAGTTAACTGCAGTGTGCTTTGCTTGTATGAGAACTCTCGGAAGCGGTGCACTTTCTGAAGCCTTGCACCGTGGCCTTTGTGATGCTGTTCATAACTTTTGGGATGGTGTACTATGAAATACAATGTCTTGACATCTCAAGTTCTTCCACTGTGTTGGCTAGTTGTTTGCCTGCTGTACTCTGTCTCACATAGACTAGAGCTAGGACCAGAAGCAAGTGCTTTAGAATGCATACTAGCTGCACGAACGCTTGTGTGGCAGAAATGTCTGACAAAGCTACCCGCTCATGCTTCAAAGCTACCTGCTCATGCTTGTATCCTTTGCTGCAGTCTATGCTGATGCATGGGAGAAGTCTAGTTGGAGTAGTTCTGTGTTGGACTGTTGCTTTGTGGGCATGTATTTTTGGAAAGTTATCAATTTAATTTGTATGCTTATAATAACTATTATGGCTATGGGGGCACAACTTTGAATACTTTTCTTGTAAGGGACATTAAACTTGTCGGGCTGCTAGCTTCTGATAGGGTGTTTCTTTTTACAAATAATGCGTTTGAAATGATGGGAAATCGAAAAGACAAAAAAAAAAAGCTCAATCTTGATAAGTATCCAGTAGGGATGCCGCGAACTTTTTTCGAATCGAAGTTTCGATGATCGAATCAAGCGGTTCGAAAGGTTCGAAAGATTTCGATTTTTCGAATTGTCTATATCGTAAAATTCGACGGAGGTCGAATTTTCGAACTTGTTAAGCTAAGAAGTTCGACGCTTTTCGAACCGTCGAACTTATTACGCTAAAAAATTCGATCCTTTTCGAACTTTCGAACTTATTGCGCTGCAAGGTTCGATGCTTGTCGAACTTTCGAACTTGACTGACCAAAAAATTCGATAAATTTCGAACTTTCGAACTTATTTATCAAGAAAATTCGAAAAGTTTCGAACTTTCGAATTCTGAAAAGTCAGAAGTTCGACGAACGTCGAACTTTTACCCTAAAAGTTCGACGTTCGTCGAACTTCGAAAGACCGGCGGCCGGTTTCATTTGATTTCAAGGAGTGGGGTACATTCGTAATTTTTTTTTCTCGAACTTTTACACGCGGTGTTGCGTTCCTTGCGAAAGACAATGTCATTTATTTCAATGTTCTGGCATGCTTAGGTTTAAAGAAATAAATCCCCGAAGGGGCGAGGACGGACGACGGGTTTTTGACGATTATCGTTTGTGCCAGATTTGAAGCACGCTGCAGCCGGAGCTATTTATGGTAGATATGTTATACTTTTTTAAGAATGATCTATGTATAGCCTAGGTAAGTGCCGTCTTAAGATGTGATTATTGTTATTCAACGTGAGTTTCGAAGAAATGTCCAAACATGTATCTGCATGCAATTATAACCTAAACTTGATATTTATTTTCGTCTAAGTTGTTTGAGGTATCGCCTTTAAATTAGCACCACAGACAGTACATATCATTGACATCTGCAGAATACAAAATAATATATTTATTGTTTTTTCACGTTAAGGAATAAATTAACTCATTGCAGAAGATTTCTAGTAGTGTTCAAGTTCAACACGTCATTAAAAGAAAACTTTTTTTTTTTTTTTTCGCTTCACGTTCCTGGGACGTGTTTCTTTTAGCCTGTACACATTTTGGTAAAAGAAACTTGTTTCGAAGTTCTGAACCTCTGAATATGCACGAATAGAACACTTCCGACGAATTCTTGATAGTTTTTTTTTTCTCCTGCTTTTTATTCCCGCATTTATTCTTTTTTTTTTTTTTTTTTGTTACTATTGGCACAGGTGTTTAGGTCGAAAAGACAGCTTTGAACTTCCGAATCACTAAGCATGTGACGAGCAGTGCTTTCTGACAACCAGTTTCTAACAGTGACCATCTACGCAACCTTTTATGCAGTGAAGAGCGACAGTAGCTATACATATGCATAAATAATTTCAGATTAAAATAAGCTCGACCACGCCCTCTTTCCCCGTATTGTTTTCTTTAACAGTCCGAAATACCTGCAAAGGGAAGAAGGAGGCTGAAGCCCCCCCCCCCCCCCCCCCCCGCCGCTATCCTCTTTCCCCCCGTTTTTCCTCTTCCGACGCCACTTGTATGGTAGAACGCTCCTCGACCTCGAGTTGTGTCGGCTTTTGTGCTTTTTTCGAGGCGATTCCTGCGTCCCAGAAAATAAACCTCCAGGACAATTATAAACTTCACCGGATCGGATTACTACCAGCGTGCAAGGGGTGGCGAGCTAGTTTGCCAGGTCGCTTCAAGGTTTTTCTGAGCCTCAACCTCCTGCTCGCCCCTGGCCGTTTCGAACTGGATGAGTCTCGTAAAACGGTGTGTTCGTGCAATCACTACTGCGTGATAAAGACCCCCCCCCCCCCTTCCCCCCCGGGGGGCTGGCGGTCACAATTCTGCACTGGCAAATATTCTAGCACGTCCGGGACACTCGTCGTCTCATTTAATTGCCTTACCAACTTCGCAGAATCTAGATATCACACCCTAACTTTTCTAAACTTGATTTTGTGAAAACAAGTGAGTCGTGAAAACGTTATTTCAAACTGAAACTGTAGAAAAACTTGAAAATCGGACTTCAAACTTTGAAAACTTGGATTAGAAAAAAATTCAAAATCTTCGAAGTTTTTTTTTTTTTTTTTTTGAATGTAGCGTTAAAAGAGAATCGAAACTTTCGAACTTTTCGAACTTTAAGCCAAAAGAAATTCGAAATCTTCGAATTGTTCGAACTTCATGTCTATAAAAATTCGAAGCGTTCGAAGTTTTCGAATTTTTTTTACAAAGAATTTCGATATCTTCGAATTTATCGAACCTGAAGTAAAAAAAAATCGAAATATTCGAATTCGAAATTTTAGAAACCGTGAAAGCTTCGAAATTTTCGAATTCAAAGCTCCGCTGTGGACAAAAGTTGCGAATTTTTCGAAATCGAACCTCGGTCGGTACGAAAATATCGAAATTTTTCGAAATCGAACCTTAGTTCGCTTCGCAAATATCGAAACCTTTCGAAATCGAACCTAGGGTGGTTCGCGACATCCCTAGTATCCAGTAGCATATTTCAACAGAGCTGCATTGCATGAGTATCATCTTAGGTCAGTCTCTGGTTGTTGGGTGCAGGTGAGTTCACAAAGCTATTCACTGGCTTCCCTCATAGCCGTTCAGCTTTCTGAGCGACCATATTTGTTATGGAGGGCACACTCACTACTCTGTTTTCAATTTTCGCTAGACTACCTATCATCCAAGCACTTGGTATTCGAGCCCCACACAGTGCAAGCATAATCTTACGCACGCCTAGCATAGGGAAAGTCTGAGTGGTTTCTTTTAATGTTTTGTTGGAGCATTTTAGGTCGTGCAACAAGAGATGCCATCGCCCACTTGTGCATTCTATACACACCCTTCTGTTCGAGCTATGCCAATTAGATAACTGGTTTTGCTCTATGCTGTTATTCATGTGGTTAGTTGATTAAGGCAAATGACCAAAAAAAGTTGTACATTATTCATTGCACTTATGGTGACCTCTATGACAATTGCAGTTCTCCTCGGTTGCAAAATTGAAATTGGATCCCCCCGCCCCCCTTTCTTATCATCTAATTTGTCCGTTGTGGGCAGTGTTATCTTTTAAAATATTTGTGTTCTTAAAATCTGGTGGCTATACAAACACTGCTGGCTACTAGGCAACCCTTTTTGAAATTTACTGCCACCTAGTAGCTCAGACATCAGTCAACTTTTGTCATGCTAATTAATTGGGCTTTGTCACTGTTGTATATCTACGGCCTACAGGACTGCATTCTTCCCCATACGGTTCTCTTTTTCTTTAATTCGTTTTAGTTTTGACGGAGACAAGGAAACTGCTGCTCTGTAGGGAGTGCTGACCTGAGTAAAGCCCTTGCATAATTCATGACAAGAGGCTTGCAAGTTGTGTGCGTGCCAATTGCGGTGCTCCTGTGCTTTTCATTGAAAAAGCATGCATGCATTCTGTCTTTTCGCCGGAGAATAACGGGGATCGCCTTTGTTGGGTCATAATGAGTAGTTTGTACCTTTATTAACATTATAACAGTGTAATTACTTTAGTTGCAGTATTTTTTTTCATCAGTGGACAATGTTAAACCTCACTATGTTTAAGGCCCAAGTCTGTGTTCCACAGCAGCTCTGTAAAAACAAGCGATGAATCTAAGCAAATTAACATTTGAATGGAATGTAGAGTGTGTTCATGGTGTGTCAGGATTCCGATGGCACTAATATGCTGGTAATATGCCAGCCCTGTCACTAGGAAAACGACCCCCGTCATGCAACTTTACAAATTGGTTAGAAACGCCCAAAACGAAAAGAATAGGGTATGTGGGCTATTAAAGGCACCATTCTGTTATCTCTAGCTGTACCAGGCAGCTTTTATCGTGCACCGGTTTTCTGGCTCCTCCCTATTTTTAAAGATTTCGAGCGTGCGGATGATGTTTTGAACGCTTGAACACGCATCTTTGCACATATGCATGAGCTGAGAGAATAAAGCGGAACTTATTTATTGCAAATCAAACTATAATTACTTGGCCTTCACTTTATTTTGATTGTCGTGTGCACACGGAGTTACTGATTCAGTGTGACTGCAGAGTTTTTGCCGTACGTCTCTTGATTTTTCCAGATGCCCTGCTTCGTTCTTTTAGGACACAAATCCCCATGCAGAGAAGCGCCGACGTCATGTTCGTGCTGTGTTCCAACGATGCACACCAATGCATATATGAAGCTATTTTAGCAATGTGTTTAATGCCATGAATTTGAAAGAAAAACAGTGTAACTGACCCATATTTTCATTTACGTGATTGAAAATGCTCCAAGCTATTTATTTTGTTAGAATCATTTGTAATATTTGCTCTTTCAATCAAGTGCAGAGAAAAAATGCACCTGTTTTTTTCTGTAGGAATGTATTACCAGGAGTAATTTTCGACTGGTTACTGTCTGCTTCAAGATGCAACAACACACTAGCACCAGCTGAACCTTTAGCGCACACTGTAATAACTCCATGGCTAAAGCTTGTGCAACAAAAGCAGATTACAATTCAATGGTAGATGGCACACTTTGGACAAGACCTCAATCTCCGACTATTTAAAGCTCTGTCACGTATTCGAGAGCTTGTATAATGAGGCAACGGTTCAATTTCGGCACCTTTCATGGATGTTGCACCGCTCCTAGTTTACAGGGGGAAGTTTAGGTAAATGTGCTCGAGTGGTTCACATGCTAGCCTTTAGCCGCGACTCCTAAATTTGCTTACGCTTATTGGGCAAGGAAATCTGGGAGCTGGCGAAAGGCTAGCATGTGAATCACCAAGGCATGTGATGTCCATTGAAACATGCCAATCACAGTGTCGAAATTGGCCTCACTCTGCAATCTTTTTCGGATGTGTGCGCCCTTTCCGAGAGCTTACCTGGCCAGTTTGCTCAGGCCAATCACCTTCTTGTTTGGGAGGTAGCCAATGGAGACCTTGCCTATGATGGGCACCAGGTGGTGTTCGCACAGGGAGAACATCTCAATGTCCTTCACAATGACCATCTCGTCGTGGTCCTCCAGGAACACAGCATCGTTGACTATTTCTGTGAAAGAAAAGCAAGGTTGTGCAGGGACTTGCGTTACACAAAGGTTACGCATGCTAATGCATCATTGAAAACTGCAGACACTGTCCGAGGCGTGTTTCTGCCGTGCATGATTCTGTAACATTGGTCACACATCTGTCGCGTGTACGAAGCATACGTATCTATGAAGCGAACATTCTTTGAAGATGCTTGAGGCTTGTCCGTGTGACTGGCTTTAGGGGTAATCGTGGTGGTTGGGTTCCTGGCACATGCCCAGTCGTCAAGATGGTCAACTACGCAAGTTTATAATGTTGATAGTATAGACCATTGCAATTGTCGCCTTCTGCCCGCTGCCATCTTTGTCGGCTGGGCTGTGTGACGTGGTCTCGTCCGAGCGTATACAATAGAGCTTCCATGGGATATCAGACGCCATGCACGCGTCCTCGGTCCAATGATTCGTTGGCACCTTTTGCTTCGACAACTTTCTGTGTTTGCAGACAAAGGTGCTGAAGCGCCGAATAAAGCGTTGCGCGCGCACTCTTCGTTGGAAATGCCACGAAAAGTTGTCTCCGAGTGTAGTAATAGCTTGGTTTAGGAATGGGACGAGAATCCTGGCTTGTCGTCTTAAATCATCCAAAAGTTTACCCATGCAACCACGAAATGTCACGTGTACCATTTCGAATAAACGTGCCACTAATGGTCTCTGAGACTGGCGGTGGGTCTCGGAGGCCATGGCGCCAGTAGGACCTCCGAGATCTTGAAGCGCGCGAAAGCTTCTCTGGCCTGTGCAAAAAGGGCTGAAGCGGAAAAAGAAGAAGCGATGCGTCTCTCTGCAGGGAGGCGCTCCCTAGAGCCACTCTATGTGGCAGCGAAGCTGCCAGAGTAGCGCCACGCTTTTCCCTGTGCCGCCTCTCACCGCGATTGGTCACACGCGGTACCATAGCAACGAGCTCAGCTGGCTCGGTTTCCGTAGCAACCGAGTGACGACTCGTCACGTGACCTCTCAAGAGCCGTGATGTCATCGGTAAGATGGCAGCGCCCAGGGCTGGTGGATGCGAGTTTGTTCGGTGCGCGGAGTCGTGATGTGCCGCAGCTTGCCGACGATTTAGGGCGTCTTCATGCTTTCTGACGTAGGTATAACGTGAAGATCTGAAAGAATTATACTTTATACCCTTTCTGTGCAAGATCGCTCTGTATAGTAGCACCTGTGCGACAGCATCACTAATATCGCCTTAGCGGTGCTCGGGTTTCCGGATGTGTTTGTGGATTGATACGACATTTAGCATGCAATTTTCGCATTATCTTAGCTTTATTTGAACGTTACAGAGTCTGAGAATCGATGCGAAATCTATGCGTCGCATGTTGGGCCTTGGGGAATTTGTTTTTGCCCCAGGTAACCGCATGATCACAAACTTCTAGCGAGGAAGCTCCTGCGATGCTTACGTTTTGTACTAATCAATGAGGGAACCTGGGTTCAATCACCACCCGTGCCCGTTTCGATCTGGATCAACATCGTAACGGCCTGCGGTTGTGTATCACTACTGCGTGGTGCACGGTAAAGACCTATAGACCCCAGGCTAGCGGTTATACTGCATTGGATAAATAGCTCATCTACAGCGAGTGACTCGGCCCAACTTTGAAATGGCTGACGAACTACACGCTGTATAGATATGCACACAACTCCCAAGCATACTAATCAATGATTTTACGATATGCGCAGCGCAAGTTCGTCTGCTTTTTTTTTGCAGGGGTTGTGGTGACGTCAGAACGCCGAGCTCTGGTTGGTTCTGAATAAAGAATAGTGGGTAGGTCTCAAGGCAGCTTGCTTTTAGGTCTACCCACTATCCTTCAATCGGAGTCACTCAGATCTCGGCGTTCTGACGTCACCACAACCCCTGCAAAAAGAAGCAGACGAACTTGCGCTCCACATAGCTTTTAGGATAAAATTTTCGCATTTTTCGAGCTTCCTTTGAAAGCCTGAATTTCTGAGAATCATAACGAAAGGAATACGGCGCGTGTAGGGCCTAGGGGAAATTGTTTTAGCCCTGGGTCACCGAATAAACACAGCAATTTTTAGCGAGGAAGCTCCTGCGATCTTTAACCTTCTTTACTAATCGCCAATTTTACGAATTGGCAGTTCTGAAGATTTTGATATAACTTGCTTTCGTTGCAATAGCTTGCATTTGATCGCAGTGTTTTTTGGTTTGTTTTTACAGTGAAAAACTGGCGTTTGCTCAAGTGAAGTTTATGAAATGTCCTGCTATATAACAGTGCATCAACACATACTATTAAACTTAGATGCTCAGAGGTGTGTTCGTCGTTGTAATTAACATGTTACAGACGTATTTATTTCTTACGAGTGTAACATTTATTTTCTGTAGCTGGGCCTGTTTTGTGCTCCTAAATGTCAGTGTGCTTGGTTCCAAATATCCTCGTCACAATGCCTACAAAGGTCAAAATGACGTCAGCCGACCCCAACTCGCGCATTGGACACCAAAACTGCGTCACTCGGATGTATGCGCTCGTCTGCAATCAATTCGTCCATGGATATTTGAATTCGTTTTCCTGGCCAATGAGTGCCCTGACAAAACTTATCATCACTTGTGAATGCCAAGTTCTACGGTGCGCTTAAAAAGCACGGTGAAAGCTTGGGGTCATCGCACCGGTGCCCTACCATGTCACGACTGCGTGATTTCACAGTTCTCTTTTGAGTTGAGGATTACAGGTAAGGAAAAAGAAGTTTAAAATTAATTTCGTGGCCCCTTTAACACGGATATGTGTGCTACACCAGATAAAAATATTGACTTCTTGAATACCGGTAAACTTCCGAACGACCATTTAGCCTGTCGGCAAGAACATTTCATATCCGGCGTCCGTCTCTTTTGATGGCGTCAACGATTCCCCAGAGACCACCATTCCGTCCTTCCTTGGTTGAACCTCGTCGACGTCGCTCCTCACCAGTCGGTGAGAAAATCTCATCTTGAAGGGATGATCGGGTCTTGAAGAAGTATGATGCTAAACATATACTCGCTCAGTACGGGGCAGTCGAGCAGCAGTCATGTCCCGAGCCAATCGCCCTGTCGTGGCCGGCGTAATCGGATTTTGTTCCATCGGAGCGAAGTCCGAATGTACAGGGTGTCACAAATGAAAATTTACACGGTCTTTTTAACCGCAAAAATAAACTAGGCATCGCCAAACGCTCATTCTCCGCGCAAAGGTAGAGCTAGAGGTCACTACCAGATGCCAAAGTTTCAGCCCGATCCGATAACTTAATCAAAAGTTATTAGTGGTTTTCTGAAAATTTCAATGGGAAAATGGAGCCCAATTTTGCCCGTTTTCGGTTTCTGGTGCCATAGAGCCCCATGTGTTCGAAAACTCCGTCATCCGCCATTTTCCCATTGAAATTTTCAGAAAATCACTAATAACTTTTGATTCAGCTATCGGATCGGGCTGAAACTTTGGCATCTGGTTGTGACCTCTAGCTCTACCTTTAGGCGGAGAATGAGCGTTCGGCGATGCCTAGTTTATTTTTGCGGTTAAAAAGACCGTGTAAATTTTCATTTGTGACACCCTGTACTAGGACTAGGACGGTACGTTCGTCCCACGAAGCGGCCGCCATCCGGCGGCGCCGAAAACCACTCGCCTTGTCCGCGCAGGTACGATACCATAGCAGCTCTCGTCGCCCAACAGTCCCCGGGCTGCAAATCGTCTCACTTTTCAGAAAAAAACGGGCACCGTTCCTCCAGAGGTTCTTGCCGTACCGCGATGGCGATGCCAAGCGTCTTATACCACTTTTCAATGAACGAATGGAGATATCAACTAGACTACAAAGGTTGCCGCCCGGCGTCGCTAGAAGCACGGTTACCATGGCAACCTCCCAGGCCCAAAATGGAGATCACCATCAGCGCTTCTGACGTCGTGCATCTAGATAATTTTGCGTCGTGTCGCTACTCTGGCAGCTACTCTGGCAGCTACGCTGCCATATAGAGTGGCTCTAGCGCTCCCAACCCAGGTATCCAATTTGCCATTTCAGTGGTTTCAGCATAGTGCAAGGAAGTGGAGTCCAAGAAAAAGTTGTGTTGCGTCGAGTTATTGCAGCTTCTACTAACAGATTTTTGTGTCTTGTGGTAAAATGGTGGATAACTGCTCGGGGGAAGTGGAAAAGTTGTGATGCTTATTTGATTTGAGATATTCATCTGGACATGAGGCGGCTAGCACTACAAGCGTGCCTTTTAATATATTTGACTGCAATCTGTAGAACATTTTACATCTTTACATAAAAATTTTGAATTTCCCTAAATAAAAATAATCATGCTGTACTTTTTCTTTTTTAATCTTTACACGTCGTTTGGCATAGCTTTTTGAGTCCGAGCACGAGGTTGGATACTAGGTAGTGCAGTCCATGTTGTCCTTTTAATATTTTTATTATTACGCAATTTATGCGGGTCATATTGCTGTGTTTGCTTCTGCAAGATACACCTTTAAGCCAAGGTCACACTGCTTATGCATTATACAAAAGACAGGCTGCAGATATCAGTCGCCACGATATCCATGGTTCAAATGCCGCGTGCCAAGTGTCTCCTTGAACTCGTTGCCTTGCGGCATTCGAAAATCAGATCTCGTGGTGGTTTGCGTTTGAATCTGTTTGCAAACTGTCTTTTGTATAACATATAAGCAGGGTGACCCAGGCTTTAGGGGCAAAATTATGGCGGTGAGATACAACCACCTCGCAATGATGTTGCCTTTTTTTTTTTATAAACTTCGTGATAATTGTAGGTACTGATTCAAAAGGTTGGGCATTATCTTGTAAACGTCTAGTTTTTGATACATGTAGCACAGACCACCGCATCCCGTTATGCACCTTGTGATACGTAACTTGATTGATATGCTAACAGATAGATCTCAAGAAAAATAACTCTGGTTTATTTATAACTTCCACCCTTGTTCCAACCTGGTTTATTCGGTATTCCAACTTCCAACTTGGTTTATTTACAGATTCCAAGCATTGAATGCTTAGATTAGACACTAAGTACTTTGCAATGCAGTGGCTTTGAGACATTCTTTAGATATGCTATGTTGACCAGAAATGGCCATACAAACTTCTCTGTTGCAATCGTAGTAGTTTTTGTCTCGTGGTCATTTCTGGCTGGGCTTGCTAGAAGGGGGCAGTTCTGTAAATACGTCAAAATCAGTGATGTTAACTTTACAGCACTCTGTACCGTTCTAATATAAGGAACATCAATGTCGAGAGCTTCTTGACAGCTACCAACACTGCCACAGGTGACGAGCCCGTTGGCAAATAGTGGCATTGGTCGTGTGGTCCTCACGACGCGAAGACGCTGGGCATGCACTCTAGCGACCAATCGGCGGGGGAGTTGTCCGTCATTAAATTGCAAACGCTCCCTATTGTTTGAGATGGACGTCCCTTTCTGCAATCTAGACTCTCTTTACTATTGCAGCGATAGCTACAACACCTTATCGAACCGTAAAGTATCCTTCTGTATCTTGAATCTTAGGTGGTGGAACCACCGCCAATGTCTGCTCGGAGTGTGACACACTTGTCCAAAACCATAAAATTATCCAGATAATGCCACGTGATTACACATGTAGTTACGCGATATAGTGATGTTATGGCGTCATGTGACACTATATCACGTGACAATGTGGTGCCACATGACATTGTAACATCACAAAACATCATGAAGTCACGTGGCAACACAGACGCCCTGCATCATTTTGAATGGGGGAAGAGCCCATAAGAGCTATTGTTGTAAAAACGCAGAACGCGTGTGAAATAGGCTTTGTAGAAAACTGTTTCGGCAGATCAGAGCCATTTATAGGGAGAGTGTGGCCATTCATTGGTTTGAATAGGCGAGCATCTTGAGGCCAACCACAAGCCGCGAAACAGCCCCTAGCGGTGGTTGTGAGCTCTCAAAATGACTCCACTAATTTCAGGCGTTTTAGCGTTGCTAAAGTAAAAAGGTATAACCCTTGGTGACTGAAAACTTGGTGCAAGTGAGCCTTTCGTCACGTTTATATTCAACGGTAGAATAAACGAATGTGCGCTCCAAACCAGAGCAAACGGCGTAGTTGCAATCATTGCTGCTGATTTAATTGCAATTGATGCAACTGTCACCGAGAGGCCGAGATTGAACACTTCTATTTCACACTTTAAATGTTGTTTCTAATATTATGACGTCTCGGTCTGCTGATTGGTTTATGCTGTGTCGCACTTTTAGTTTGCACTCTAACCACGGGGAGAATATGTGGCGCTGGCGGCGGCTCTTGCTCCGCCCATTGGCCAAACTCTCCCAATATATGGCTCTGCGGCAGATAAACGAAAATCAGTTCGGCAGTCTCACCAAACAACCTCTTTTTTCTCCCCACGAAAACCCCACCCCATTACCCATTTCGGCAGACCAGGAAATCGCCAAAAACATAACAGACCGCGACGCCCGGGTCAATGCAACCTGAAGCCTGACGACGCAACTGACACCACCCACCCGTAATGCCTGCGACGCTGACAACGCTGACGGCTCCTGCTGCTCGCTCTGCGATTACTTTAATGACTTAAAGCCCCTAGATGTGTTTACGTGTCTTTACCTCGCGGCGAGCGACGGAGCCTTCGAGAGCGCGCGCTTGGGTATCTCGGAGGCCATGGCGTCAGGCGAACGTTTAGCTGTAGTCCTAAGAGATGGCGCCACCAGTCTTAGGATCTTCGATGGAGAGCCTAGATTGCAGAGAGTGTCCATCTCATGCCTCCCACGCCGATTGGTCACAAGTGCGCATGCGCTGCGTAGTCGCGTGGCAAGGAGGGAAGCAGGCGGAAAGGCGGAGACGTTTGCAGACGATCAACGCGTTCGACACAAGCACGGCCCACGAACCACGTGACCCCGATCGAGGAATATCACCTGCAAGGTAAAAAGGCCCGCGAGTGACGTCATCGTGGGTGTCATCCCTGACTCGCCCCAAGCTACAAGCTAGCGGGACAGCCTGACCGGGCGGGGGTGGGGGCGGGGGCGGGGGAGGGGAGGGGGGGGGGGCGGGGGTGGGGGGGAATAAGAGGAGGACGGTATTTTCCCGACTCAAGATAAACGTATTAAAAAGTTCACCACCACGCACTCCCCGATATCATGTGCTGTCCGAAAGCGTATAGCGATGTGCGCGGCCAAAAGCGTCGCTGCGGTCAGCCTTCCACGATTGGCTAAACCATGGGCATATGAGCACTGTCAGATTGTCAACTTTGACGGTGTTAGTTTCGGATTGCGATGGCTCCTGGCCTCTACTGTGCTTTTTAAACACACCATCGAACTCGTCCTCGCACCCCATGGTAAGTAGCCAGAATAACAACTGGTGACGTCACGGCGAGGCAAATCCCAGTCGTGACGTCACGGAGGGAAACCATAAGAGGGCGCCACCGAAACATCTCGGCGCTAATACAGCTAAACTTGTGTGGCGCGGCAATTAAGCTAAAATTATTTTCAGTCACAGTGATACATTTTGTGTGTAATTGAAACGGCAAATATTTTATTACGGTTGTATGTCTAATTCTTGTAAGACTAAGCTTTATGTCTAAGACATACAACTTAGGCATTAGTGTGTCTAAGTCGGAAACATAAAAATCGACTGCAGCAGACTCCAATGCATGAAAGGGAAATAAAAAACAGTAAATCTTTTACGGCATTTTGCTTCCTGACGATACTTACTCTTATACTAACATGCTCTTGCATAGAATTAGAACCGTGTGTTGTTTTTTTGCCTTGAGTAGCCGTCTTCACCAAAAAAAAAAAAAAACTTTCCAGAACAACTTTTTCGCATTGCACAGTATGATTTGCATATAATTAGACTAGTTAATTTTCAACTTTAGGAGAGCAATTTTCGCTCGCAATATTTTGCCATCAAGGGGAGAGGCGCAACGGCACATGCGCTTTCGTCTCCTGCAAGAACGATGGTCGCTCTCCGCAGTGCTCGTATAGAAAATGGCACACCATCGAGATTCCCACGTTTATTAATCACCTTCGCGCTACCTCGTCTACCCCACAATTTGCGTAGTGAATGCTACGGCAATGTGAAATGCGGGACATTTTGAAGATTTGGGTATTTCTTGCGGGACGCGGGGCACGAGCCCTCAATGCAGGACAGTCCCGCGAGTCGCGGGACGGGTGGCCACCTTAGTCTTGGCGTCGCTGAGTGCTAGAGTGGCGTTTGGTGGGGGAAAGGCGCGGGTCTTTTGGGTGGTGTTGTCTCCCGCACCTTTGGGCTAAAAAGAAGGAATCGAACAACACGATCTCATGATAACCTAAATGGCCTTGACATTGCGCCTTTCAAGCTTTATTAATATAATTAATTTAAAATTTCCGTTTTTTTCTTATTTGCAGGAGCATATTGTATTATCTTGCCTACAGCTTAACCTAATAGCTTTTATTTTTTAGTTTGTTTTTGCGTTGATAAATTTGTCTCTACCGATATTAAAACCCTCCGCGCCCATACCGAATGTACTGTACCAAATGAGGGATCCCAAATTTTATTTGCTTAGACACACGAACTCAACACAAACATTGCGTTCTCTTCTCTTGGTGTAAACTTTCGTATTTCCTCAGTCTCGGGCTGCTTCAAACTGTTCAGTACACACCAGCTCACTTGCGGGCTTACGTTCTGTTCGAACCAGTGGCGTAGTCGAGAATTATTTTCGGGGGGAGAGAAAAAAAAAAGGGGGGGAGGGGGGTTGAAGCCCGATAAGCCTCCCCCCCTGGATACGCCGCTGTTTCGAACTCATAACACTCGGAGACTAGTCTGCCAATCAATCGTCCTGCTACGTTTA